AATATAAATTTTTAGACTTTTTTCTATCTTCTTTTTGAAATTCTATATATGTATATATTACATTGGAAATATATAAATATATATATATTCCAATGATAACACCCCATACGTGGACGATTTGGCGCGCATAGCGCGCCATATACGCTAGTATTCAATAAAAATTACGTGTATTTTCCGTAATTCTGGAGCGAAATGTGGTTGTCGGTAATTTTACGGAGCTGTCACGTAATTTTGATCTAAAGTCACGGAATTTTTCCGCGGTGTTCCATAATTTTTATCTGAATTATCGGTGAAAAATAACGATACCGTCACTTAAATATTTCGAATCAACTCCGTAATCGGTAAGTGAACTGAAAGTTCCGTAATTTTTACTAAATATTTCACTCCGTGTACGAATACATATATTCTGCTGGGAAAATGTTATCCTTTATTCTTACTAAAAATGTATGACGAAATGATGCATGTCTCATAATTTTCTTCCACTTTCTGCTGTGGAATATAATAATAATCTTCAAAGAGGGTAACTCTGATCATTTCTCAAACTCCGGGATAACTCGATGTAAAGTATACTCCTCTCTTACAGTTAGACACCCTCGGTAGGAGGAGAGTTGGTATATGCGCACCGGTGGCTTCACATTATCGATATTACGAGACGTCAATAAAAAATCGCATAAAATTAAACAAAACCCATGGACTATCCTGCCGATAAAATTCTCAGGCTTTTATATTTATGAATAAGATTCTCACCCTTACCAGTTGGTACCCGGGTAAAAAAATTGTAATCGGAATATTTTTTCCAAATTTTCCAAAAATTTCTGGAAAACTTTTCAGAATTTTTTTTTTTAAACGAAAAAAAAAACTGGGAAACAAAATAATTGTACTTTTGGGAAATGTTTTGAAAAATTTTTCGAAAATTTGTTTCGGATATAATTTTTCTTTAAATTATACTATTGTTTTCTTATTTTTTTGATTTTTTAAAATTCTCAAAAAAAACGCCATCGAAATTATAAAAAAAATTCCCTATTCAAATTTTTGAAAAATTTTTCCCAACCTCTCCCAAAAATAAAATTGTTTTGTTTCCCGATTTTTTCGTATCATAAAAAAAATGTCTGCCAAGTATTCCCGAAATTTTTATAAAATTTGAAAAAAAAATATTGCGATTACAATTTTTTTTTACCCGACTACCCCATGAGTGCAACGAGGAGGTAACTATGACAATGTCTTAAGAAAAGCAATGGAGGTTTTTTTTATAAAGTGAAGAGCTCTTTGCTCTGTTTGCAAGATATATTACACAGGTATATGTATAGACATGGAGAGTGCAAAACGGAATGAATTTCAAGAGGTGAGAATACCACAATCACGCGAAGCAAGGACACCTCTGAAATGTGTTTGCTGCGGTCAGCCCGTACACTTGGTGTTAACGGCACTCTTCCCCTCCTAATACAACATCTATTTGAAAGGGTCTCGTTTTGAGAATTGAAATCTCACGAATGGGGCATTGACAAGGTGATTTAACCACTTTTCCATTATTACTGAGAAACAAAGAAAACTCCGAGTAAAATTCAAGTGGTTTCGCATGCGGTCTAACGTTATTTTATTTAAACATTCATAATCACCGGTATATTATCCCACTTGACCAGCATCCAATAATTCATTTGTCAAACTAAATGAGCTCTCCAATTTTCTTCAATTGAAGTAGTAAACATGCTGTGATATTTTACATCGAATTCCTCCATCAGGTGAAAAATCGGAAAAATCGCCGATAATGGATGGCGCGGGAAAATTTCAAGTGAGCAGAAATATCATCCAGGAGCGAATGAGGGTGAATAAAAAATCGCCGCCAATACATTTTCCTTGACTGAGCAGACTATATGATTTCATCTCCGCAGGGATGTTTCCGGGTAATGTATGATTTACGTATTTTTTTTATGGACATATGTTATCAGCAGACCGATATGATAATAAAAATAGAAAAATTTATCTCATTATATTACGATGCTGTCGACGTACACAGACACTCAGCTAATTGACTCGAGCAAAATTAAACTGAAGTCACGTTAATAATGTAAAGCCAACCACTCCTCTGTATCAAAGTGAGCTACCCCACATACACCATCGTACATAGATAGAGCTGTAAAGTTGTAGAGTTGTATTTGGTGTAACAATGATGGACGAGCTGTGAGCCCGACCTCAAAGTTGCCAACCTCCAAATACCAAAATCCCCCAAAGTTTTACGCTAACACGATCAGTCAACACCAAACCCCAAAACCCGTTGCTTGGCAGCATAATCTCTACCTCCGGATTAATTATTACGCAATAAGAGAATGCGGTACATACTCAAATGACGCTTGCCTATGATTTAAAATCGTACGAGGTATTTCAGCGAAATATCGTATATAGCACTTCTCTCTCCAATTGGTGGAAGTGAAGGATAATATTATTCAAGACATTGATACTGTAATAGCTCTAGTCATTCTTGGTATTGCAACCCATCAACTCAATCGTCGCTGCTGCACTTCCTCCCGTCGGCTTCAAACAAAATTAAATACGCGGTGTAAAATGTACGTATTGTAATAGTCAGACTGATCATTGCCTACCAAGAATTACTTTCACAAACTAAAAAACCAAACAGCTGTCTTATTTACTATTCAAGTTGAATGGTTAGCAGGCACTTGAACGTCAACCTGAGAGGCTGCTTTACCGCAATTGCCAGTCAACACAATTCCAATATTTTTTTCTCCACCCAACGAAATATTCTAAAGCAGAAAATCTCATTATTGATTATTTCCTGCTTTAGGAGAGGGAAAAAAAACGAGGGAAACGTAGTTACGATAATGTGTATTAGCGAACATTTAGATCATAGTCATTCTGCGAATAGTGCGATAAAAATACCAGTTAACATTCACCATTCATCGTTTCTAGCCAATAGCGCTGACAGTTAAATTTATGGATTTACGCGATCAGTTTGCACTCGTTCATGCACGATTATATGCTGTTTCCAAGTCTTCCGGCACTCCTTTCCTTGCGTTATCATCGGTCATTGCACCTCAAGATGGTCTCTATACAGTCGTATAAATTCCAACTCGCATCATATTTTCCTCTTCCACACCACAAAAAAAAATGCTATAGAAATACATTGTTACGTATCCCCCCCCAAATTATAATCATCATTACGAATGATCTGAAGGAAGCCCTTGGTTATGATTGTCTTCCATCCTGAACCGTCTATTATTCTATTTAAAGTATTAATAAACCGTCCCATTTATTTATTAACAACTGTATTGTGTCTTTCTTCAACAATCCCTACAATATATATCTACACCATAATATGCACTGAGAAAAAAATTTTCTGCAGCCAATAATATTTACTAACCACCAGTAAATCTGGCAATCACTTTGTAAATACTCTCATAAGACTTACTAATGACAAATATATTTTCTTGTGATTAGTAAATATTATTATTGGTTAAAGAAATTTTTTTTCTCAGTGTGCGATTAATGAGGGATACATTGTGATGAGTGAATTGATATGGATGAGAGGAGAAATGAATCATGTCAGTTGTATGTTTACTAATAGATGATTAGACTTTATACCTACTAATTAGCATTCCCCCTGTGAGACTACTGTATTACACTGTTACACACGGCCTATGCAGCCGTCGAGTAAGCGTGACAGCAGTCTTACTTAGCGCTTTCTTATTCCTTCTTTTTATATTACAACAACAAACCGACATACCACATCACAATTATTCGCTCTTATAATTGAAAATAATCTCTGCGCATTTATGCTGGATTCTTCGCGTACCAGATTATGAGGACTAATTGAGATTCAAGTATATTACGGTGCTACTGTGTGATTTGCCTTGAGTGGGTTTTTGTGAAAGGCCTCAATCCCCCTTAATTTTTTTTTTCTCCTTGGGATCTAAAAAAAAAAAGAAAAAGGGACAATGGGACAAGGGGAAGATGAGAAAGGGAGACGGGGAGAGAGGAAAAATTATAAGAAATTAAATCGATTCCCACGTCACGTTGAAACAAGTCGAAATAAGTAGTGGAAGAGGTATTAAGAAGTGGATAAGGAGAATGGGATATAGATTGGGTTGAGGTGGTTCAGGTGGATCTGTGTAATAGTCACCTTTAATTGGACCACTGTTGGACTTATTTTGCTGGGTTTACCTGAAGAGGGGCACGAGGCGTAGTTTAGAAAACGCTTGTGAGTCGATACCAACAAAACATTCGACAGATATATTTATGTGTATAAAGGATAGGGCAACTCATCCAAAGTATGGAGTTAGGTTGCAGGAGATTCTATTTCAGGTTTTGGTCACGCGATGCCTTTTTTCTCTGATTCCACGTACCCTGTTATCTCTGGCCGGAGGCCAAAGCCACTCTGCGCTATACACGGACACATTTCTTCTTATAGTTATTGCCGTCGGTCACCCATGTGTGTCTATTCGCTTTCTCAGTCTGCGCTTGTTCTTACCTTTTTGATTTTTTATTTTACTGAGATTTTTTTCTTTTAAAGAAAACATCACTGTTTTGACAAACATCAGGGAATCTCGCTGCCGTCGTATAACCAGCGTATGGTAAGATTTTTTATTTTATTTGACCACTGTACTTTGTCGGAGTACATCGGGACCTTTCGGTGGGCATTTAATGACCAACGATTTCAAAGAAGCCACAATCATTTCAACAAGTAGCGAGAAATTAAATGACACTAAAGATAAAACGTGCCAATGCACCGAGAGATTACTTGTCTATGCACGCGTGGTTTACCAGGACCCCTCCATGTGTCTGTACTTGCAGGTATACTGACGGAAGTTGGTCATTTCACTTACATTGACAAATCTATCTCTCCAACCAGTAATTATTTAAATAATTCATATGACAATTGATATATTGACTCACGGACTCGAACGAAATAACGAATCAAGAGTATCTGAAAATTTTTACTTAATTCGTTGTGCTGTCGGATTTTAAAGTCAGTGGAAAACATGACATGACCTTTTCCAAGAGCTGTTTGGAGTTTCGGAGAATTGGCATGAAGAAAGGTGCCTTGCAAGTGGTGGCAATCTCATTTGAAAAAAAAAATATTGTTCACTGGTAAATTGAAATCTATACACTGTGCGTTTACCCGTGAATTGCACAATGTTTTCGAGCTAAAGGCCTTTTTGCGACAAGCCAGAGCACTTTGAGCTACAACATTTCTCAATCTTCGATTTAGCCTCATAATGTGGGATTCCTTGATTTGTATCATTAGAGTAAGGTAAATGATCACGTGTATACAACATCAGGATTGATGTGTTGGAACGTACACATATACGGAAAAAGCAACCTCATTTTCATTGCTATGTAGTAAATACCCCGGTTAAATCATTAATATGATAATTCCAATTAACGATGGTATCCTGTCCATCTGTCATGGTTTATCGATTCATTTTATCAGCATGAATTAAATGTTGATCATGCAGAAACTTGTCACGCCAATTATTATACCACCCACTTGGATAGATTTAAGAATGATTAAGATCATTGAAATTCAACGAAATATTGTAGGCCTTCTCAATAAAATTCGATTGTGTGGAGTAATTAATTGAATAATTGAGATGAAGATATAGCATGCTGAAGAGGCTGCATCATTTTACTTGGTTCACCATCTGTACGTGAGCCAGTTGCTTCTTTCTTTCTTCTTTTCTCATCTCTATATGAAATATATCAAAAGACATTAACGTATGATCGAAAGATTCTTCATTTGCTACTCTGGTCTGTAGCGTGCTCAGGATTTTTCCTTCCGGCAAGTGAAACAGCCGCGCACCGGGAATTACTATCAAGCCAAGTATAATATTGTACTCGCACCGGCGAATACATTTAACTCACGCTATGGCAATATAATTCTTGGCTTTCATTATCCGCACGAAAAACACGACAGCAGGGAATTCGTTTAAGTGTACTCCAATTACGTACTTCACACCGAGGTGCGGCAGCAGCAGCAGCAGCAGCAGCAGCAGCAGCAGCAGCAGCATCTCAGTGATACTCTTATCCTAGATGTAGATTTTTACAAGCTATGGATCTATGCTATTTGTTGTAAAGATTGATTTTACCTGCAAGACGATCCTTGAGATGTGGATGGGTTTGAAGTGGATGAGCGAGATTGGCGAGTAAGCTGGCCCGATGGAGACCAGCAGCAGCAGCAGCTTGCTGCTGGCTGTGTTGGAGGGCTTGAAGACTCCAGGGTGGTATAAGACCTGCTTGAGAAGTCAGGCCGTTCCCAGGTGGGCCATTTGGTCCTGGTGGTCTGTGGGCGGGGACCCTGATGACACCACCACCAGTGTATATTAAACCAGAACCACCTGGGAAAAGTCTGAATGGCGCCAAGAGATCTGCTGGATGCATTTGACCATTTCCATGCATATCCGGTGTACTGCCTGTATCATCATCATCTTTCTCTGACATTTTCTCCTCCAACTCGACGCCCCATGATCTCCTCTCATCTTCATTTGAGTTACGATTGTGGCTGTCATCCCAAACCCATGATGATCTTCGTTCTTTATCACTGTCGGGATCATCGGAGCTAGGGCTCTTTGCTTGATTTCTACCACTAGCATCACCCAACAGACGACTTATACTAAATGGATGACTGCGAGGTGATGTATCACTCGGTGTTTTAGTGATGTGCATTGGTGGTGGTGATGTTGAGCACTCCGACGGTGCTTCATTTTGATGATTGTCAGTTGAGTTTACGTAATTATGGGGAGAACAACTTCTCGAGTCAAGTTCATCAACATTGATCTCTTCTGAAGGATCAACCTCACTGTCTCCGTGATCAGACATTGTAAATAAATCTATCTACCAATATAAATCGATGTTGCATGTACCGAGTATGAAAATACTATAAATTCATTTCACATGTCATTTTCCATTAGCAATATCAAGTTAATATATGACACTAAGTAATTTATTATTTGTAACCAGGGGTGTAGCTTTATAGTTCCCTCAAATTTTTCCTACACCGATGAACATCAGCCACGGTAATTTGGAAATTACGGAGCACGTACGCGGCCTGCCGCGAGCATCTCTTCACGTTCGTATTCGTATCTTTGTCCCGGTTGTTCGTCGGCCATTTTATGGGCCATAAACATTCACGAAGGCTTTTCCAGGTAAGGTGGCCAACATTCTCCTTATACCTCTCCCTTCCGATTACTTTTTTTTTTTTTCTCCTTCAAACTTTTTATTTTTTACCTGGTATCAGTATTAACCCTGCGCAATGAATATGTAGACGGTTACCTCGTTTTCCCTACCCTATCATTCAGATGATCGGTACAGCAGTTTTGTGTAATTGTTGTTGGGCTCAATATTCACCGATTATCTTGCCTTTCCGTTTCTTTTCTTTTCCTCTCTTCCCATATATTCTGTTACACGTAAGCCAGCAGTTTATAAATATTCCTCACACATCACCAACTTCAACGCATTATTAAATATTATTTCCATAGTTCTTCCTTAGTCTTGTTATTTTTTAATCACAAACTTTATTCTCTTCCCAATTAATCACACCCACTAATCAACAGTTTATTAATCGAGTTCATATACACCAGTCACTTTACAGTAATTAGCACATTTTATTAAATCCCAACAATGACAAATCACAGATCACTAATGGATAAATCGATGAAACACCTGGTTGGAATTTAAATGGACGAAGTAGGAAGAGAGAAAGATAAAATAAAACAAATCACAGAGGAATCCGAGTTGGTGAACCAGCGTGTTCGCTTGGTCGTGGTAGAGTGAATGAGCTTGGTGATTCTGACTACTCGGGACTCGTGATACCAGGTGGTTATCCCCACCGTGACGTTACCATGTAATCGAATGGCCCGCGTTCAACCAACCACGCCTAGTCTCTTACCCCAACCAATGAAATTTCATCACGACACGCCTCCCCTCGCTCCCATTGGTTCAAATCAAATTGATACCTATTTAACATTTGAACAGAATGTTGCAGGCGATCGCCTTTTTCCCCTCTATTATTTATTGGCTTGGTTATTTTTTTTTTCCTCGTTGTATTCATTTTTGCTCATTTTTTATCCCTCTCTCTTTTTTTCTCTCTTCCTCTTGTTCTCTTTCTCTCTCGCTCTCTCTCTCTCTCTTTCTCTCTCTCTTTCTCTCTCTCTCTCTCTGTTTGCCATCTCGTACATTGGCGGTGCACACTGGTCGAGATATAGCTCTCTGTACCTCTTTTTCCAACCATCAGATCCATCTCTCTCTCTGAGATTCTCTCTTCCTTTCAACCGCCCGGTTCGTCGCATGCCGTGGAAGCTGTGGGACTTAATTACGCGAATGCGCGCGAGTCGAGCCAACCTCCAATTCTCCATCCTTCTCATTCCCTCACACTTTTTCTCGCCTCTTCTGCAACACCTCACATCATCCTACTCCAACCCTCACCCTTTTCTATTTTCTCTTGTTCTCTCTCACCCCAACCCCTCTGTCAGCTCTTCAAGTATCACCGCAGAGTTTCTTGCTTCATGAAACACAGCTCTGAGGCTTTTAAATAATTCACAGACAATTTCTCATGCGTTTAAAAGCACAGTACACCCTGTCGATTGAACGAGCCCTCTGGGATATGACTTAAAATCATATTCTAAATATATAATTTTCGTTGATCCATTATATCCTCACTTGCATTTACCCCGGAGCAATCTATATTTATTCTTATATTGCTCGGTACACCAGTATTAAATAAGTTATGGCATTTTCAATGCACACATATTTCTCTAAATGTTTCATAATTTTCCACGAAAAGCTATAAATTCATCTCAATATCTACAGCTACCCATATCGATATTTACGACTTAAAAATCCCATGACGTAAGATAATGCTCAGTACCATCATTTTTCGCACGATGGTCCATGGTTCTTCGGGTTTGCAAATAAGCGTTTGGCAAGCCACGTAATATCCCACCAATGATCCACCAATAGTTTTCATGAGGCTAATTACGTGAGCCATCTCCTCCGCCCTCCTCTCGTACATATTATGAACCCTCAGGCAATAACCACAGGAATAAGATAAAAAAAGAGCAAGCAGAAGAAGAAAAAGACGGAGCAGATGAAGAGATAGGGGGAAATGGAATTTCAATCTCATAATTGTCCCATTATTTCTTACCATCACCATGCCATTAATTTTTCTTTCAATAATTTCGTACGGGATCTAATGTGATTTAACAATCGATGGAACAATTATATCCCTGGGAGGTAGTAAAAAATTTTTGAAGTATCGAATGGACATTTTTATTTTCCTTTTCAAATGAATAATGTTTGTGTTCAATTAATAAAAGGGGGAACTAAGTGAATAAATGGTGGATGAGGAGGATCTCTGATACAAAACAGAGATGTCAATTTCTCATGAATGCCTGCTGACTGTGCGACACCTCGTTGGTCTAACTACTTCAGTAATTCCCCAGTGACATGCCCGGGGGAATTTGAACGAGGCGTGTGAGCGAAAAATGCACCCCCCGTTACTCTTTGGCCCATTGTTCGCCGGTTTTTTTTTTTTTTGCTTTTTCATCCCCCTAGATCCCCCTCGAGTCGCATTGGAACGAGAGCAAAGAGTATGGGGGCCAATATAGCTTGATGAGCGATACTTTCGCCTGGCGCTTATTGTTGTGAAATTTAATCGGCAAGTGGAAGATCGATTAAGGGTACTTCGGTGCCACGAGTCTCAATTACAGGTGAATTTTATCATCGAGATCATTTTTCTGTCTCTTTTTGCGTAGGGAGGAGAATAATGAAATCAAAGTCCCATGGCAGTAACCCATATTTTACAGAGATATATATGTAATGTGTGAAAGTAACGACCTCTGTGGTACTCACGACCGGTTGAAAATGCATTTAAACTCATTACGCGCACTTCAACCTTGGATTAATCTGTGGAGATTGACGAGGTTGAAAAGCTTTTGTTTCTTGTGATTTTTTTATTTCAGAGGGTGAGGCACCCCGGGTAAAAAAAATTTTAATCGAAATATTTTCTCGAAATTTTTCAAAAATTTCTGGAAAACTTTCCAGAATTTTTTTTTATTAAACAGAGAGCAAAACAATTTTATTTTTGGGAAAAGTGTTGAAAAATTTTTCCTAATTTTCAAGAGGAAAATTTTTTTTATAATTTAGATGGCGTATTTTTTGAGAATATCGAAAAATTTAAAAAGTAAAAAAACAAGAGTATAATTAAAAAAAAATTATATTCGCAAAAATTTCTAGAAAATTATTTAAAAAAATTTTCGAAACAAATTTTTGAAAAATTTTTCGAAACATCTCCAAAAATACAATTGTTTTATTTCCCGATTTTTTTGTTTCAAAGAAAAAAATTTCTAAAAAAAAACACTCTGATTACGATTTTTTTACCCGGGACCAATTACCGAGGGATGCGGTGGGAGAGTCTCAATGGACTGGCGTGAAAGTCAAAGATATCCAAGTTGTATTCCCAAGTGAGCTTCCAGTCTTGTTCCAGAGCTTTCCAAAACCAAAGTAAAAACTTTAAAACCGGCAAGTCCACAGGATATCGGTAGTGGAGATGGAAATACATATATGCGCGGTCACATTCCAGTATTCCTAAAACATTCAGTGACACAAAAGTTGTCTACGATCATCCATACACCGTATATACATCCAGACGGTAAGAAGTAAGTGGATACTGCGTTGTAGTTGAAGTTCTCATGGCCACAAGGATGGAGTTAATACTGGGAGAGTGCCATAAGAGCAGCAGAGAATAGCGTATAGAAGTACCGAGGCACCGAGGCACCGCATACGCGTAGTGCCTAATATATACGTTGCCTCACGGGTGAAACATTTATTTAGTACCAAGGGGATTTTACCGAATGGCAAGAGAGAAAGCACAGAGAGCTAGGTGGAGGGGGAGAGATATCTGTACATATAGGCAAGTGAAATGTAAGAGAAAAAGATAGTGCTGGAGGTGAATAGAATGGAGTGGTTTTGGGTTGGCACTTGAGGGGGTGCGATAACTCGGTTAGCCGGCCTACTTCCCATCTCAATTCTCTTTTATTATATACACATATGGACATACCCAGTGCGCCTGTATTAAATGCATATTTATTCAGTAATTTTACCGTTAAAAAAAATTCAATCTAACGTTTTTTAAAGCCGATTTATTCAATATATATTTATAATATATTTATTTTATTTTTATTCTAAAATTATATATATATATACATGAATCATAAATCATATACTTTATTCAATATTTAATGATGAAAAAATTTATATTTTTATGACCTAAGGGAAAGCTTAAAAAAAATATTATATTGGGGGTTTTAATTTTATAATCTCTCTGATTCTAGCTCAGAGTCTGAATCTGAATATTTGAATTTTGATTGTTATATATCTATTGTTGAAAAATGAAATGGAAATTCATGTAGTAGCACCACAAAAGTAAGAATATGCGGGCGTTCATCTTTATTTATATAAAATTATTATCACTTGTCTGGTGCTTTAATAAGCTCCTCGTCGACGAAAAAAAATGGCGTGTTGTTAAATTCCATCTGGCACGGTTTAATTCGTTTCTTCATGATTTTTTGATTGATTAGCAGAGGGCAAGAGAGGAGGCACATCGTGAACGGAGAGGCGGTAAAACGACGTAAGAAAAGATAAAAGAATGTTTAATTCCAGGCAGAGAGGCCTCATCCTCATCCTCATCCTCGTCCTCTCTTCTCCGAAGGGTAGAGCCATCCCCCTTTCCGCTTCTTAACCGTTATCCCCACCGTTTTTTCATCCTTCTTGGGATAATTGCCTCTACTCCTGTTCAAATTTAATTCTTCTTTTCTCCCGGA